ATAATCATTATTGTGATATTACTGTCATCATTATCCTGTGGGTGTGGTAAAGACTATGTATAATGCTCTTCTTTTTTTTTTTTTTTTTTTTACTTCAGAGAAATGGATATAGGGTCACGACCTAACGACTATCTTTTTAAATATAGTGTGAAGTAAGTTGGATGGGTAAATAGAATAAAAAATACAAAAAATAAAAGAAAAAGCGGCTTACCGTCACAATTATTCGTTATTTGCTAAAACAATGTGCAAATAAACAAACAAATAGACGTTTATCAGATAAGCATACTTCTCTTCTATTGAGAATCATATCTATGATATAGAATTTAGTTTCTGGTTGTCTATAATAATCTATAAATGGTTGATCATTGAAACATACGTACACATATGCTCGGTATGGTGTATATATAGTAACTTCTAGGATATAAAGTTAATGTAGATGTCATCAGTACTATATCGCTGTGTTTGACAGCAAGCCGCCAAAGAGCAGCGTGCCAAATCAATTACAAGTCGATTGAGACAAGCGTATTTCTTGTTGAAATTGCGTCATTCAACTGAATATTCTCTGAAGGTAATCAAGTTATCCAACCGTTTGTCTTCCTTTCACATAACATTTATTCTTGTTTATCACTCTCAATGAACAAACGCGTGTGTGATGTCCATCTGGTTTTTATATATGTATATATTTATATGAAGGATAGAAATCGAGAAAAAAAAAATTTTTCTTGTTTTTTGTTTTTACAAACAACTGATACAATCTCTTTATCTAATGAGATCACGAATTGAAACTACTAAATATATATATACATATATATATATGTGAAGAATAACAATTAGTGAATAGATATTGAACCTCTACTCTCATTTGTCTAACTATATTTTCTTTTCACTATTAAATCAACAATAGTTATCAATCGATACTTATCTGATAGATCGAAAAAAAAAAATACTACGTGTCAACTTATGCGTATGATAAAGATCCAAAAAGAAAAGAAAAAAAAATGAATTTGCATATACGATATACAAGATGAGATAGAAAGGCTAAGACGGATGCGATCAATCGACGCGCTTGTGGTTCAATTTACCTGCACTAATACCATTGCTATGTATACAGACACTTGAGTAATTCGTCGGTGACCGGGACAAACGAACGAATCTACTTTGAATATGCTTCGTATTACTCTCAATCACAGCAGTGAGCTTTTTTAATCCAACCTTGCATATGTGTCTATACATCTATCGACTCTGAATGAATAAATGTTGACAAACGTATATATATCAATTTCCATCAATACACATACAGAATATCATCATGAGACTAGTGTTCAACGCACAAAAAAAAGGAAACTATGTTGGTCACACATACGTTCTCATGTAAATGAGTTTTGGTTCATTTGAAATTCTTACTCACCCGTTTAGAATATTTTATTATTATTTTTTTTACATGTATATATTTAGGTTGATGTTTGAAAAAAAATAAAAATGATTGACACAATCCTTGAGACAATGTATACTTAACGACGAGACTAATTTTGTACAAAAAAAAAAAAAAGAAAAAATAGGCGTCTCTCATTTCGTTATTGTTCATTGCACAATCAAAAACTCATTTCACGCAACTATACAATAGACAAAATCGATGTATGTAAGAGAAAAATAATAAAACTGTTCATTTAGAAGACATTGTCTATATACATATATGTATACCCCCTAGTGAGTTTTCGATATTGTATACTAAAAATAATAATGAAATGCTGCTAGTAAAGATCAAAGCATGACTTTAACTGGCTTGCTGCATACAATGATGATAATTGATAATCGAATGTATACTGCGAAAAAAAAGGGCGCGTGTGGTGATGATGCATATCTTTTTTTTTCTTCTTATGTGGCGTTCAAAATCAATTATTATTTCGTTCCCGTTCATAGACAAAAAAAAAGAAACGTGCGTATCATCATTATCATCATCAATGATAACGAGGATTACACACCTGAGAAATCGTGCATGATGTGTTCTTTTCATCTATCCGCATTTGTGATTGTTTAACTTCTCAATTGAAGTATATAGGTCGGCTGTCACTTGGATGAATCATTTGGAAGAGAAACCTTTTTTTGTTTTGTTTTTATTCTTTCACACTCAATTGAAAAGTGAATTATTGCACGTTATTCAATCTTGAACACTTCACAATTAAAAAGTAAATATATCATTTTCTTTTTTTTTTTTTTTTATTTTTTCTGTTTGTCATTTTGACATTTGTACGATGGATGGACTCTCATTAGAATGAAGGCGGATCTTGTTCAAAAAATAAAAAGAAGAAACTTTAACAGATGTTATCAAGTTAAATAGAGAAGAGAATGAGATCATTTATCACACCATCACTAGAAAGATATCACACACACACACACACACACACACATACACACAAATGTTTCATGTCTCTTTTTTTTGTTGGTAGGTCTATCGGCATGTCTATATGTGTTGTACACGCGATTATACAGTTAAAAAGAAAATCAGCATGATTGTATGTGACAAGTTTGATGAAGATTTTGCATGTATTGTACGCTTTAGAAGTCAAATCGATTTACTGAGTGAATATATCATTCATGATGTATTCATTTTGTTAAATTTATACCTTGGGACGATATATGTATATATGTATATATATCATATATTTAATATCGTCAATTGAAAAAGTTAATTGAATAGATAAAAATGATATTGAAACCATTTTCAATAATTTATGTATGGAAATAATTCTTGATGAAGATATTTCATCACGGTCATTCTATGTTTATATCTATTGACAATAGATAGTTGTTGATAAGTTTACATTATTTGAATACTTATAACGGATAAACTTGATTGAACGATGAAATCAAGCAATAATAATTTGTTGTTATTTTTCAAATATTGAATAATCAAATGTTAAAAAAGTAAATATTAATATTATGATGTTATTGTCAGTTTTAAACTTATCTAAGAGTTTGTGATGAAATATTTTGAAGTATGAGCTTTGCTCATATAGTTTCAAAGTAATAGATTTGTTTGAGAATAATTTTAAGAATTGATTTTATTTTTTGTTTTTGCATAGAAATAAAAGAAAATATGGATAGACACAATATTTGTTCAGTATGTTAAATAATTATAAAATCAGTAAATTACTTAAATGGTTAGTGAGTGATGAATCAGATTTGTTAATAAATTAAAAGATTAGTAAATAAAATTTATTAACAGTTAATTAAATCAAAGGATAGATATAGAAATTGAAATGCGTTATAGCATGATTCAGTTTTTTTTCTTTGTTTTTATGTTTTCCTCTGACTTCATCTTAGAGTTCACGAGTCCAAAAGATCGATGTGGTACAAGTTGCTCAATATGAAAGTGATGTATCAGATGAAGAGATTATGAAATCAATAAAAACGAAAGAACTTGCCAGAAAAAAAAAGGAAATCGAAATATTAGGTATAACGAGGCTACATTTGATAATGTTGATGGAGCAGAAACATCAATTGGGAATGAATAGTCAAAACATTATGCGAATTTTACAGAAAATGGAAGAACAGTTGATTGCAAATGCAATAAAGCCAAGCGTTGTAGATAGAGATTGTGGTATCAAGTTTTTTTTTTTGTTCCGGTCTAGAGAAAACTATTCCAAAATTTATTCGTATCACGTCCAAAAAGATTTCTTCAATAGTCGTGTTCTGATTGGGGAATGTTAATTGCTCGAAAGGAATAAGACCGAAGGGCAAAATATCGATTGTCAAAAATCTTGAAAGTTCGTAAAACAATCATTAATACTAAATTACTGCTGAAAGTCATTTTCTTCTATCGGAAACGCCCAAATGAGTGTTGTTAACTGATGAGTTATTCTTTTGCATCTTTTTCTGTTCTATTTTTCGTCCTTCTCTATTCAACCTTCTGTGTATATATAGAGTAAGGGTGTGGATCTGGATGTAAATCATCAGATCAGCTACATCCTTATCAAGATTTCAAATGCAGAAATTGACTTGAAGGAATATCTTTAAAGGTTATCATTACTTGTGGCAAAGGATATGAAAGCTGAAAAATGATTCTCAAATCAATCCTAATTTTTTTTTTCTTATGATCATATTTATTTTCACTTTTCTTATGTCAATTTTCTTTTGAGCTAAAGCGGTAAAACATCGTATTATAATCGATGTTGTATATGTACACTCTTAATTAGTAAATTTTTATCATTCTTTAACAAATTTATGATTAATAAACTGCGTATCTATCAATTATTCAAATTGTTTTATATTTTGCACATTTGAAATTTTTCGTTTCGAACAGTTAACACTAATTCTATTGATTTAGTTGACGACTAGCAAGTTTTTGAGTTATCATTTCTCTTGAATTATGTTCTGATTTATAAAATAATTCGCTTAAAACGATAGAATAATTAACTATAATCTTTAGTTCCGGTTCCGGTGTCAGCAACTTCTCATTTCCGTAGTTTCGGCCCCGACGACCGAGATTAAAATTGCTGTTGCATATCTCTAATCGTGGATCTTAATGTTGAGCAAGTATTTATCTGCTATATCATAGAGACAATGGAAAAAACATTATTTATAAAACTGAGACTGAACACGATAACCATAAGGTTGTGAATGAAGTGAAAACAGATTCGAATCCACATCCTTTCATCTATTTTGCTGACCACTTAATCAGACAAAAATGAAGATTCAATATAACAGAAGTGATTCGATTAATGAGTTTTAAAGTCATTTTTTTTTCAATAGATATGAAAGAATATAATCATTTTATTAAAATGCACAATAAACATCTCTATTCAATCGCTTAATTTAAAACTTCACTATATTCATATAGAAATGTAATTCTGCATAGAGTAATCATATTATCACAAACAAGACTAGTTGGATAAATAAACATTCTGTCTTCAATGATTTTTTTTTTGACACATTAATATATAATGATCTAATTGCAAAACAAATATCAAAAAAACAGTTTGTATTCATTATCGTTTTAATCATATTGGTGCTATTCGATTTGTTTCATGATTTTGATTACTATCAGATATTAATGTTGGTGTTTCTAAGTCATCTAATTCAATGAGTTCATCAATTATAGCTCTTTCAAGTTTTGGTTGTTGATGTTGTCGTTCATTTCGACATTGTTGAACATTATACCGAAAACCTTTTAAACCAATTCGACTTAAATAATTTCCACGTTGACGTTGTACTGTTGTTGTTATTGGATGATAATCTTTTGGACGATCTTTTTTTATATCAATAGGTGCATCAGTTTCAGCACTTGTTGCTGGCATATCAAGTGTACCAAGAAAATGTTTTGTAAGACCATCAAGTATATCAACACAATGCATACGATCATTTTCACATATTGGTAAATCCATAGCAACAAGTAATAAATGATTGGGTTTAGGAATACGTAATGGTGGTTCAAGACCGTCAACAAAATCTGATAATTGATCATATTGTATAAATTGTGAACCAGATGGATCTAAACGTTGCCATTTTTCATAATACATATCATAATCATCATCGGTTAAGCCCTAAATAATAATAAAAAATTTTTTAACACAATCCTTGCGGAATTAAAATATGAAACATGATGTAGCTGATGTTACTAATCATAGGGAGATTATTTTATTCAATTCATTTTGAGATATATTTCTTCATTATCATATTGCTTCATCCTTCAGAAATACAATAATGAATCATAACGAGACGTTAGTAATATATGGTTCGTGATCGTATATCAATAACGTCTGTCATGATCTGCGATGGGAAGTCAGGATTTCAGTTCGATATGAAATTTCGCTCATCAATCTTCATAAAAAGCCTTATTTATATGAATACTTTATACACTTCATAGTGCTTAGTGGTAAGGATTTTTATTTAAAAGTACTTATCAGCAGAACATATTTAGATCAAACTACAGTTCTAGGATTCCGTTCAGCCAGATAGCGTACTGCTAAATCATATGAATTTAGATCATATTATAGTTGTAGCATTTTGGTCAGTAAATTACATTTCGACAAATGGCATTGTGTGTGAATACATGAAAAGTGCTAAATGAATTTCATAGTTGAAATGCTTTAGATGTAACCCTCAGTATTTAGCGGTTATTGAACAAACTAATTACTTAGAAATCCACAATGTCACGGATACATGAGTATATGTCAAGATATCTCTCAGCAACAAATGGTTTTACGTGTATTTACACATAATAAAGAGATCAAAAAATTGGCAACATGTATGGAGAAATATTGATGAGTTAAAAGTGGATTAGCGTAACATCACTTGGTAGTCCTATGAAGACTTTGATTTTTACGTTGATACTTATTGTATACAAGTAATAATTATCTCAGAAGACTACATTACTTCTAATAGGATCAAGGTAGACTGTTTAACACTCTAGAATATACCAACTGTTTATAGGATTTCGGGTGCTTACAGAAGTTAATGAAAAGGAATTTTAAGCCTGGATCGAAATTTATGTAATTTTCTCTGATAAGTCATTCCTAGCATGTCTGTCACGTCTACAGGGAGAGATGCAAATTGCTACCTTTATAGTTTAACATTCCTTTTAAATCGTGTTTTACATAAAAAACTAAAATCAAAAAAAATTTTTTTTCATGTTATATTTACTTGTTGTACATCTTCTTGTGCTTGAGAAAAATTTTCTAAAATTACTGCAATATACATATTAACCTAAATGATAATACTAAATCAAAAACCAAAATAAAAAAAAAGAAATTTAAATTCTTACCACAACAAGAGAACTAATTATTAAATAACTCACAAGAAATGGTATTGCAATACCCGTATGACCACAATCACCACGATTTGATGGTGAATATATTGTTGGATCACAATCTGGTGGTCGATCATTTGTTAATGCTTGTAAAACACCAGACCAACCAGCAGTTGTACACATTGGAAAAAGTATAATCAATGAATTAGGAAATGTTTCAAAATTAAATAAATCTGTTACACCAGCTGATTTTCTAACATAAGCAAAAAATGACATACCAAATATTGAATAAATAAACATGACAAGAAAAAGAAGAAGACCAATATTAAATAAAGCAGGCATTGAAACAGCTAATGCAAAAAGTAATGTTCGAATACCTTTTGCTCCTATATAAACAAAATAATAAAAATAAAAATTTTTAAAATCATTCATTTCTATCAAATTGAACCTTTTACAAGACGTAATACTCTTCCAACACGTGCAACACGAACAACACGTAATAATGTTGGATTAACAAAAAATTTTGCCATAATTTCTCCTAATGCTTGTCCTAGAATAAAAAACCACAATAAAAATAACATTTTTAATAGAAATAAATATATAGAAAAAAAAAAATTACATACCAAGAATTGATGCAATTACAATGATAAAATCAAACACATTCCAGGGCATAGTAAAATATTTAAAATTTAATGCAACTAATTTCATAAAACATTCAATAGTAAATCTAAATTAGCATTAATTTATAATAGAAACAATAGTCGACTTCGCGAATCTTTAAAATTACGTTTTTTTTTTGCTTTGAAAATTCTCAGATTTTTGGATATGAGTGAATTGCACCCTTTTTTTTTTGTACTATTGAAATTTTAGTTGCATTTGATCAAAGACTTTTTTCTTGTCACTATGCGACACATACACCGTTACTTAGCGGTAAGAGACATTTAACAAGAAAATATCATTTGCTGATAATATGTGTAAAAAGAAGGGAAAAGCTTTGACAATAACAAAGAATGAGGAAAAAGATGAAAATAGATTTTCGAAAATGATTTGCGCTACAATTCTTCGATGAATCGTTTGATATAGGTGAAATTTTTTACACTAGATATAAAATATCAGCTTCTATGAAAGAGATCTATGAGATGCGGTGGCATATCGCCACCGATTTGTTCTGCGGTGAAACACTACTAGAATTCTCAACGATCGGAAGGGATATAGAGCACCGCAACATTTGATGGCTTGCTCGCATTTTGATAATGTTGTCCTTTCTTTTAAAAATATAGCTAAATCTATAAAAAAAAATGAGTTATTATTATGAGTTTTATATGCTTTGAAATAGTCTACATGTAATTATTTTACATTATATCTATTGTTGTGGAGAAATGAAACGATGTTTGTAACAAATGTTCAGGACAGACAGTACCGAGTTTGCATGCGCTCTAAACAACCTTGTTACGTCGTATACGATCATACTTTGATGGTTCATCTAGTTCAGTATTATGATCGTATACATCCGTGAATGTATATAGAGTAATAGGATGATCTGTGAAGAAATACAAAGATCATAAACGAGTGTTTTTACCTTCATAAATTATTATATAGCTTTGTATACAACACGAAGATAGACAATCGTCATGCTGAACTATGTAAACTGTAGTACCCTTAGGAGTACAGCTGTCTACGGCTAGGTAAGTACTCAAATTCATTGACATAACGCTGAACAAATCATGAAAAACTCAAATTCAATAGTTTGGATCTAATCATTATTTTAGGATTCTCTAATTTTGTGATCTACTATATAGTACGTTAGATCATTTTCAATTTGCTCGTCAAAAGCAAGTTTTCGTCTATTTTTATAGTGCATCAGAGTATTAATGTAGCTGATGTACCGTAAGAAAAATAAAAAGAAATTTCTATCCTAACTGGACTGTGATATGTAACTTTTCCTACTGATATCTTGTGATGGAATTTTCCTGCTTCAGATATATGCCTTTGGGAAAATTTTGCATTCTCGTAGTTTGATAATAATAAGAATTGTTTTCGTCTAGACAAAAAACTACCGAAACTGATCGGTGCATACCTTTCTTATAACTAAACTTGTCTAACTTTTGTTATTGAAATTAGCCAAAACTAAACTTAACAGTGTGTGTATCTTGTTTAATATATCATAATCTGTGAGGAAATTTTTGCTGTATAACATAAACTGAAAGTATAATAAAAAATACTATTTTGAAATTATTTAGATCTATATTCATTTATTCACAACAATTGTACCAAAAAATTATAATTCACTCATATGTAAGATATAGGGAAGAGAATTTATATGAAATTTTTAGTAATACGTAAGAGTTTCTAATCTATCTTAAAGAGAGATTTGCTTAACATATTGTAAACTTATTATTGACTATTTGCTTACATTGCAACAAAAAAATTATTAATATATCCAAGAACGCGTTCATAAGTATCACTTTGTTCATGATGTTCAAGACACATACAAACCATATTAAGAAGAATACATATCATTATAAATATATCAAATTTTTGATTTGTTGTTAAATCAAAAAAAAATCTTGCAAGAGCAAACTAAAACAAACAGAAAAATTTATATGAATTCATTTGTTTAAAAGAATTTACTCTTGGCCTTGGTAATGCTTTAGTCGGTTTTTTAGTACCCATTTTTTTCATAGCATTATAATATTTTTTTTGCTCTTCTGTCATAAACATTTCTATTGAACCACCACCTCCTAACTAAAATAAAAAACAAAACAAACAAACAAAAACATTTGACTATTTTTTTTTCTTTTTATCGAATTAATAAGAAAACTTAATATTCTTTTTTGTTGATTAAAATTATCAATAACAACACCAATGAATAAATTGAGAGTAAAGAATGAACCAAGTATAATAAATAAAACAAAATAAACAAGAATATAAACATTATATTCAAATTCCGGTTGAACATCTATCTAGAAGATTGTATTATGAAAAAAAACAACATAAATGTCGAAACAAAGCTAATAGAAATAGTTATATATACTTCTCTAGCATCTGTTGCATCAGCCATTATTTCAACCCAACCTTTGAAAGTTGCCTATTTGAACAAAACGAAAGAAAAAAACAAAACTTTAATTATTATCATAATAATTATGCAAAACTTCACAAGCTAAACTATTAAAAACAAGTTGCTACCGCAATCTTTGCAAGATTAACATGTGAAACATGATGTAATAGCTGGTGTTACTAATCACAGATACATTTCTTCACCGTCATTTTATTTAATCCTACAGATATTTAATAAGGGGCTAACACATTTTGTTACACATGAAAGGGGAAGAGCGTTTGGTAAAGAACTTGTCATAGTCTGTGACGTTTCTACAGTTACGTCTATGATGCTCCCATAGTTAAGTGTGTCACATTCTATAACACTCCTATAGTTACACCTGTCACAATCTTCGACGTTCCTATAGCTATCCATGTCACATTCTGTACCATTCCTAAAGTTACGCCTGTGACGTTCCTGTGGGGATACCTGTTTTTCTAAGATGACTATGTTTACTGTACTTTTAGACAAATATTAATCTTAATAGAAAATGTTTTAAAACTAAATTTTCAATGGTTATTCGTAAATATGTTATACATTAAATGAGAATAAAACGTACAAAGTAATATTTAAGTGTAAAAATAATTATTTATCTCAATAAAAATTGTTTGTAATATGTATTTTCTATTGTCATAATTCGATAGTTTTATTAATCTTTCTATTCTAGAATATGTTTTTTTTTTGTTTGTTTTATTTATTAAATTAAATTAAATAACTTACAACTTGAAATAAAGCTAAATAACCATTAACAACATGATCAAAATTTACTCGTGAATTTTCCCATGTAAAATTTTTATTTAAACAATCCATTTTATTTGTTACATTTTCTCTTATATGAACACGATCATGTGTACCAACATATACACATTTATAAAATTTGCCACCAAATATTTGTACACCCATAATCGAAAATATTAACCAAAATACAAGACAAACAAGTAGAACATTAAAAATTGCTGGTATGGCACCAATTAATGCATTAACAACAACCTATTTGAAAATAAAACAAACAAAACAAAAAATTTTATAAAACAAATAAATCATTTATAATCATACTCGAATTCCTTCAAATCTTGAAAGTGCTTTTAATGGACGTAAAGCTCTTAATGTTCTCATTGATTTAAATGCTGGAATATCAGCTACACCAAACCAATCAAGAAAAACTCCAAGAACACTAACAAGTACAATAAAAAAATCTAACCAATTCCAACCATTTGTAAAATAATTTTTTATTCCATATGCAAACCATTTTAATATTAATTCGACTGTAAATATAATTGTAAAAATTTTATCTAATACAACTAAAATTTTATAAAATATTGGTTGTTGTCGTGTATTTATATCTTCTAAAGCCTTTGTAAAAAGAAAAAAAAACAAACATTTTTTCGAAATTTTTTTATTATTTTTAACTTACTAAAGTTGTACTACTAGCTAATATACTACCAATAATAAGCCATTCAAAAAAACGATGTTCAACAAGACGATGAGCTTTACTACGAAGATATGTCCATCGTTGTTGAATATTTATTGGAATATATTTAGCATAACAAGAAAAAAATTCTGATATTATTTTCGGACAACAATCAGGTGGCATATTAAGATCTTGCCATATTACAGGATTTATTGTTATTATAGAATTATCATTCATTAATTGCATTTCAATATCTTCATTTATTGTTGTTGAATTATTAGTTATAATTAATGATGTATTAGTTTTTTCTGCATCATATAATGTTGGTAAAGGAATACTACTAATTAATTCTTCTGTAGCCGGAACATCCTTATGAAAAGAAAATTTAATTATAATGAATAAGAAAAAAATATAAATAATTTCACAAACTCGATTATAAGTTACAATTTCATTAATATTATTGTCTATAGAAATCATTTTTTGTCGTTGTTTTTTTCGACGAAATAAACCAAAAATATATCGAATTACAAAACGAAAACATCGTTGAATACGATCTATTGCTTCACCAATTTTATTTTCATCATCTTCTTTTTCTCGTTCACTTAAAACATTTGAGCCAAATGATGCAAGTAATAGAGCCAAAAATAAATTTAATACCTATTAACATACAACATGTCCTATAGGTACTTCACTATACATGTGAAATAAACAAAAAGCTAAGAAAGAAAAACTCTGCATTCATGATACTCTTATCAGTATGGAATATTTATTGCTTAATCTTTTACTCCCACTGGCAGTTTCAGAAGAACTACTGATAAAATAACCATAGAGATAGGGTACTGGTCTCGTCTATATGATAATGGGAGGGATAGAACGACCAGACGGATCATACTTTATGTAGAGTAATTTGATTAGTGTAGCGACCATTGGAAGAGAAGAGAGTGGGGAGCTGCGCGAATCCACGTTTTCGTGAATCTGAATCCGACCGGATCCAAACCCGAAGTTATTTCCATCAATACTTAGCACCCTTCGTGTACATGAACCAGCAAAGGATCAAGGCTTTAGCTATTTATTCGCTACTCTCAGAAAAAACCTTAACGTACAGTTACACCTTGTTGCTATTTTTCTCATGTGGGGAGCAGCGGATCTACAAAAACACGTAATCGAGCTCGACCAGAAGAAATAAAACTTTGGATCCGAACGGACCCGAATCTGAAAGGACCCACAGCTTCCTACAAGAGAGAGTAGAGCAATTAGTCAAGGTGCACTTTTCCTTTCTAAAATCCTAATTTTGAATAGAAAAGAGTAATATCTTTCTTTTTTTTTTATTTGACTAATATAATAAAAAAAAAAGGAGAGATGAAAACATGAAAAAATATTTTCCACAGTACACATATTTTGAACGCAAATTTTTTGAAAAACACCTCTTTAGTGACTAAGTAATTATCTAATCAATGAATATTTTGTATGAACGATAAATATTTTTTCGACTGCTAATATGACATAGTTTACAAGAAAATTATACATGATATATGCAATTACTTTTTTTTACCTCTCGATAGTCACTGCAGGATCCATTCAATGATTTAGCATCTCTTATCTGTCAAGTTATTCGGCCATTAATAAAATATATTTGATTGACTAATAAACATTTTCGTCGATATGTATCAGAGGAAATATCTTGAAGAATTATTTTACTTTCAAATCGATAAGATTTCTACGAAAAATTTTATTTTTTGCAAATGTAAGAACAATGAAAAAACAATTTTTTGTTGTAACTGATAGTTTATCAAGTTCTTTACAATTAGCATAGAGTTATTTGTAAATCATGTGGTTCAATTTTTTTGTTGTTAATTTGATATTTTTTCTTTTATCATTGACAAACTTCAGAAATTGCAATGTATTTTCTTATAAGTTATATCGTATAGTATGTAGTCATGGGAAGAAAACTGATTTAATATAGTGCTTGAACTTCTGATGTATGCTTAATAGCTGGTATATTAGTCTTTAAATATCTTTTTATACTAAATTCCAAAATGTCTTACATATAAATCTATTTCATTATTTTCTGTATATTTTTATCAAGACGACAAACTGAGATATCAAATAGATTGTTGATTACATCGAAATTTCAATAGAATATTTTAAAAACAATTTCTCAATTATAATGATTCTATTCAATAAAGAAATTTTCCATTTATCGAAAAATAAATTTCTATAAATATACATTTACATACCACAAGATTACCAATGACAAATGTAAATAGAAAAAATGGAATACATGGCCATCCAGCACATTCAAGACAAACCCACATTGATTCAATCCACTCACCACATAAGACACGAAAAACAATCCTTCAAAAAAGAAAAAAGAAAATTATTTTTTTTTTCTCTTAACTTAAACTAATTAAATAAACTTACATAAATGCATGAAAAAAATCAAAAAATGTCCATCTTGGCATCTCTTTACCAAACTTTTCTGCATATTTTGTACCAAATAACTATATATCACTAAGAATAAATTCATTTAAAATTTTTTATTTAATTTACCTGCATTCCCATAACAGCAAAAATAAATATTATAATAACAACAACCAATGTTAAATTTCCTAAAGCGCCTATTGATTTACCAATAATTGACATAAGACGATTCAATGTTTGCCAAGACTTAGCCAATTTAAATACACGTAACTTAATAAGATATTTAAAAAAAAAAAACTTTATAAAAAAAAAAGATTCTATTATAATTCCTTACTAATCGAAATGAACGTAAAACACTTAAACCTTTTATATTAGAAAGACCTAATTCAACAAGACTAAGTGTAACAATAATTAAATCAAATACATTCCATCCATCTTTTAAAAATTTAGCTGGTGTCATTGCAATTATTTTTAATATAGCTTCAGTTGTAAAAATACTTGTAAAAACATAATTGCCTGTTGTTAAAATTCGTGTCATTTTGTCACTTTGACCAGGTTGATCAAGTGCCATAAATAATGTATTTAATATAATACATATTGTAATAAATAAATCAACAAATGCATCCAATATAAAAAAAGCAATAGCAGTCTAAAAAATATTTTATAAGTTTGTTGTGAATAAGAAATATCTATGTTGAATAAATATCATTTCAAAATCGTCTTGATGATCTAGTGAGTGAAATCTCGTTGAAGGTTTATTGGCTATGCGAAAAAAGACTTACTATAGCCATGATCACATATTCTAATTTGTTATATGAATAGAATCATAAGAGTATGATAGTTGAGTCAGGAGTCTGCATAATACGCATACTCTAATTAGTGATGAATATTATGAAAAGAACTTGAGCTACAGGCTGATTGCTGCGGAAATGTTGCATTTTTATGGTATGTTTTTAACTTAATGCTGTGATCTCCTCAGAAACACTAAGGAAACTAATTTTTCGAATTTCGACTTGAAACTTGTCACAGAGACAGACCTTAACGAGAATGGTTTATTGTAAAAGTTCCAGATCTTTTGATTTGTTCCTATTCTAAAAGAAAAATATTGAATCTGTAAATTTTAACAATAGATTATTCTTGTTAAACCTTTGCCTGTGTGAAAAATTTCAAGTAAAAATTCGAAAATCAGTTTTTCTAGTGTTCTTAAGGAAGAATATGGTATTCATTTAAAAAATACCGTAAAAATGCAATATTTCTATAGTGATAAGCCTAGAATTGGAGCTATTTTCAAGCTATTCATTGCTAATTAGATTCTGCATAATTCATATACTCTCCACTCAAAAGTGATAAATCCAATTGAGGAACTTCCTTCGTAAGATATAAATATCTCGTATTAATATTTGATGATAAGCTTGTTATTCTATTTCAGAAGTTGCTCTATTATAGTAAAAATATCCATTTAGCGAAATTATTTAGACATTGTCTTGTAATTTTGATATGAACCATTATATGAGACATTTCACATCGTTTTATGCTTTCGATCCGAGAAATTATAATTAATATTAATAAAACATACTCGAAATTTTTGAAATATCGGCGATTGACAAGTCCATTCGCAACAATAAATTCGTAGAAGTTTAACTATTGGTCGATCAAATGTATTAGTTGTATCCAAATCTGAAATGACGATGTTCATACATCTTTTATAATGATACTCTAATTATCATTCATAGTTAATCAACGTTTACACTCAACACAAAGTGAACTATTTTGATTGTCAATATACAACGATCAACTTTGTACAGTACAATAAACTGTTCTAGATAATCAATCGAAAACGGACATATACAAGACTACAAACATGCATATAGGATGGATAAATAAATAAATAAAATCATACGTATATCTTTTTGATTTTGATTTAAAGAATAAGGATTAAAAGGGAAACGAGAATAGAAAATAAAAATCTTCTCATATTTTTGTTTAAAATCTAAATGGGTATATATATATATATAGATGAAATTATAAAATTTTTCTTAAACAAGACATGGAACGATTAATCAATGGAAATTCTATAAGAATCTATTACAATTTAACTCACTTTTTGATCGAACACTTGTTTGTTCGGAATTTCGAGCACTTAATACTTCGGTAATTGGAGCATATTTTATATGAGGTTTGACTTGATAAAGCTAAAAAAATAAATTTGAAAAAAAAAACAAAAGAATAACAATGGTTTTTTTTTTCTTTTTACTGTGACAGTTGAATCATTATTATATTGATTTTGTTCTGATGAATAAGAAACAGTTCTTGTTCGTTGACTTTTTCTATCTTCATTTGTTGAATTTTGTTGTGTTTCATCAAAAAATGGTATTGTTGTTGTATCACTTGTTGTTGGATTAGATAAAACTAAACTTGAATTTTCAAATTGAAACATTGATGATGATGTTTGAAATGATCGTTGATATTTTAATTCATTTTTCTAAAGAAAACCAAAAAAAAATAAAAATAAAAAAAATATATTTTAAAAACTTATTTACTTTTTGATTTGGGTCATACTCAATAGAAAGATTAGAATATGAAATTTTATGATTTGGATTTTCAAAACATAATGCATTTTCAATATATTGTTCATTATCAATATTTAAAAGTGCATGTAATTCTGATGCTTTTCGTGCTTCTTCATTTTGTTCTTCAAGTTCATTTTCAATTTTACGTCTTTCACGTTCTTCATTTTCAGCTTGAACTTTTTTTTGTTGTTCTTGATAAGACATTGAAACAATAGCTAAGATTAAATTAACCAAATAAAATGAACCGAAAAATATGACAGCAACAAAATAAAAAAAATGATAACGACCAGCTGATGTTAATACCTAAATGAAACAGAAAATTTATAAAATTCATGTTTTTTTTTTTTTTTTTTGTTTTACTTGTTGATAAAGATTTTCCCAAAAATCTTGTGTCATTAATCGAAAACACGAAAGCATAGCCCAGCCATAACTATCAAAACTGTAACAACAGAAATTTTTATGAAAATAAAAGTAAAATCAAAATCTACCTTGTATATCCAAAATCAGGACTAGAAACAAATAAAAGTTTGTTAAATTAATAACTAAAAAACAAAAAAACAAAACTTACTTTTTGCCTCGATCTTTCCAACAAACATAACCCGATGGACATTTTCTACTTCCACTTGCATTACCGCAAAGAACATAAGCTTCATCTTCTTGATACCAATAAACTGTAAAAGTAAAAATTGAAAATAGATTAAGTCAAAATTTACAATAAGCGTTTTCACGAGAGAATCTCGTTCAAGTGTCAAATTGCTTTTTGGCCGAGACGATGTTCATGTGAAGAGTACTAGTATGTAATAGAAAAGTCTAGAATGATTTAGTTTTCCGGGTCTTCATTCTTGAGATATCAAAATTAAGTTTGCATGAACAAAGTTCTCAATGAGATTAGTTGACACTTTTACATATGAGAGAATTTCCAGTATTGCTTGTCTCAGAATAGAAAATACTAGAAAAGTTACAATTTGCCCAATCAGCTAATCTCATTAAGAACTTTGTTCGTGCAATGTTTGAAGTCGAAAGCCAATTTTCCATGTAATCACAACTTTTTGTTGAAAAATTCAGCAAAATTTCGATATTTTCAGAATCGAAGGCTCCTAAAACTAAACTATTCTAGACTTTTCTATTACTCACTAGTACTTATTACATGAAAATCGTCATGATCGAAAAGCAATTTGACACTTGAAGAAAGGTTTCTTCATTAATTATTTAAAACTAATTAATTCTATTATAAGTTTCTTTTTCAACTTGCATGAGTAACTCTCGAAGTTTTATATCGTGTCTACTAAAATTAGACATATACTTAAGTTTGTTCGAAAGTTTTATAAAGTAGTTAACATTTAAGAGTTTACTGCATGAATAAATAGTAGAATGTCTTTTCTATAATAATGTATAAAATAACTGTATTTTGAATTTAGTTCTACTATTTTTTTTTCAGATAAAATCCAATTTCAACAAAGGAAAAACTTGAAAAATGGATAATGAATTCGATCGATACTATTCGAAGGTTGACAGACGTAAATATTGAACTGGTTCGACAAGTTATCAATAATAATCCACATTCAACTTATAATGATATTATAGCTGAGACTTCTCTCTCATGATACGATAGAACGAATTATCCACGATTGTCTAAAGATGAGAAAAGTTACATAAGATGGGATACCTTATTAACTCAATGATGAATAAAAGCAAGAACGAATTAGAATTTGTCATGAAAATTTGACGAAATTTCGCAATGAATCATGAACAATTATTATTACAAGCGATCGGGGCATGGATTTATCATAAATAGGTAGAATGCAAGTCAACTAACGCAAGCTGGATGAATGAAAGTGAATCATCAATGACTATTATTCGCCGAAGTAGATTTGAACCAAGAACTTGGTCCTGTTCTTATGCATAGCATAGATAAAGGCAAGACTATAGATTACAACTATTATATTGAGAATTGCTTCAAGTCTGTTGTCAATGAACTATGAAAGTAACGACAGGCATCAGGTGCAAAAGATATATAATTACTGAACACAAGAAGATATCAATATTATGCTGCATTCACCGTTTTCACCAGATCCTGACGTCATGTGATTTTTAGATAAATGATTATATCAACCATAATTTAACTTATCAAACAAATGAAAAATCATTGGCTTATGCGTTTTCTAAGATAGTTAAAAAATATTTCAGAAGGAGAATTTTAAAAAAAAAAAGATCATTTGTATAAATAATTATTTATGTACTTAGAAAAAAGAAATATAGATATGACTCAAAGTCATGATCACTTCGCTTACAAGTACAAATCCAGGTCATCATGTATGCAAATCAATTTAACATTAATTTCCTGATGTAGTTAATAATCATCAACTAACCTCATTTAGCTTCGAAATCTTTTTTTTTTCTACGAATAAATTTATAGAAAATTTCTTCGAATCATCTTAATAAACAATTTTTCAAACATACTTGTATTATTGATTTCAGTCAAATAAGTGTCAAATGACATATTAAATCCAACACTAGAAAAATTGGAATTATTTAAAAATGATTCATAAGTTGGTACACATTTTTGTCGAAGAACACCCATATAAAGTTGTAATCCTACCTATAATTAAAACAACAATTTATTCACTATATATAATTTTTTTTTGTCTTTCTAAATCTCAAACCAATGCAAATATTGAAAGAATAAAACTTGATAAAACAGTTACATCTCGTAGACAAATAAGAGATTGTATTAAAGCATCAACAATTGTTTTTAAACCTACAATAATCAATTTAATTAATAATCTATAAATAAATAAATAAATATTAAACAATATACCAGGTACAACTGCAACAGTTTTTAATGCTCTTAAGACACGAAATGTTCGCAATACTGCAACTTTTCCCAAATTGACAAAAGATGTGATATATCTAAAAATAAATAAATAAATAAATAAATAAATATAATCAAATAAATATTTCTTATCATTTTAATACATACGCAAGTGTGATGACAATAAAATCTAACCAATTCCATGGATCACGTAAAAATGTATATTTTTCTAGGATAAATCCTCGTGCAACACATTTTGTTAATGCTTCAAGTGTATAAATTAGTGTAAAAACATATCTATTGTTATTTTAAATAGAAATAAAAAAATTATATATTATTAAGAAAAACAAATTTTTTTTTTAAAATTATCTACTCATTTGTTTCTGGTGGATTTTTAAGTGTCATAAATACACAATTAGTTAAAATTGTAATCATAACAAATGTACTAAAAAGTGGATGTGTAAATATACGTATAGCTGAACGTCGAAAACAATTAAATGGAGAAAATATAAAACAAGCTGGTGTTGAACTAAATCGAAATATTGTTTTATTTCGATTAATAACCACAAATGCCTATAATATTTTGTTTGTTTTTTAAATAAGATAAAATTATCAATAATTTATACATACATATTCCGTACGATAATACCAATCGATTTCGTCAATTGGTTTTCCAATAAGTTCAGGTGGAAATTTATTTTGTAAAATTCGTGGTAATGTTTGTCCAACAGCCAATTCTTTATTAGGTTTTTGTTTAGGACCGATTGATTCATATTTTAATGATTTATTCATAGAATGACGTTCATCAATATCATCTTCACGTATTATTTGTTGTTGTAATCGTTCAGAAGCAATACGTTCAGCTTCTTCTTGACGATAATGTTCAATACGTCGTATCGATTCATGTGTAAACTCGCGAAAGACAATCGAGTTGTAATCCATTCTGATTAGGAAGACTTACTATCTGGTCATACATATTTTATTGAACCATAATAATACATAACAAAAAATAAAATATTGTTCTTTTTTTGTCTCGAAATTAACAATTAGATATATATATATATAAACAATATTGAAAATTCGTTGATAAGATTTCTATTTAATTTATTGACTTACAGATATGTTGTATTTGACATTCAAACATGAAGCAATCAGTGATAATAATAAGACTAAATTATTATAGTAGCATTGGGATAAGCGTGCAATACATACGCAAAAGAATGAATCGTTACTCTATCTTTTAAGTAATAATTGATCGTCAACGAATTAAATAGAATAATTTTTAGATAAGGATGTTACACATCACGCAATACTGAATAACTGACTTCTTCATCTATTGCCTATTGATTATTATCATTTCTTTCTTTCTTATTTTTTTTTTTTTGGCTTTCGTCGTTTCATCTTAGATCTTTTTTAAACAATTGTCATGTGTAAAGTAAAGAAAGAGAAAAAAAACCAATGACTTCAGGGAATATAATTTTTCTATGATTTGCTAAGTATTTTAGAATCAAATACGAGAGAATATCGATGTGTGTCTGTGTGCTTTTTCTTTCTTTTTTATTAGTTGTAGTTTATCGAATTGAGAAGTTTTTACCAATCATTAATCGTCATTGAGAGTTGTAGCAAATTTGTCAAGATTAACTATTGAACATGTCTCGCTAACTTAATATTGAGATTCATTGCATTTGTTAATATTCATCTTGTTTTCCTCTTTTGATAAGGTCATCCTCTTCAAATATTACTAAGTGGAAAGCAAAAGAATTGTTTTTCTTTTTATCTTATTGTTTTTCTTTGACTAAAAAAAAAAAAAAAGAAAAAGAAGATGTCAATAGTAAGTGATGAAGAAATACACAGAGAGTAACAATCGAATAGTCACGCATATAAGTCCGGATGATGATGGTGATGCTGATGATGAAGTGAACAGCGTAACGTTCCTAAATCGAATTTCTTTGCTGATTAGCATATCTAATAAATGCTTTGAATAATAGAACGATTCCTAAGAAGAAAGCAAAAAAAAAGAACGACAAATTTGTTGATCCGCTTAAAATCAAGTTCGAATCATTCACTCTCTATTGTCAGTCAAGGTTAACAAAGATCGAGAAAAAAAGTATTCGAAATAGAATAATTCGTTCAAAATCGATAAGATAATGGAAAAAAAAAACAACAAATTCATTTTATAACTAATACTATGTAATTTCAGCAATGTCTAAATTCTTTTCAAATGATTATCTATTTGTGAAAGTTATTATTTAATTGATGATTTAACTTCTTATTTGATAGTTAAGATTTTTTGTTTTTTTTTTTACATTTATAATCTTTCATATAAAACAATTGTTCAAGAATAAAGATTCTTCTGTTTTTATCAATTGAGTAATAAAATAAAATGATTAACAATAAAAATCTCATTGTCTTATGCATGACATTATAGGAAATAAATAGAGATTTATTCATCAATCAATGAATTTATTTACATGCACATTGATGAACTATACAGGAAAGTGTTAGACATGAATGTCTTAAAAATCTCTAGAGATAATCTTCTATTGTATGTTAATTAGTATTTATCTAAGAAATGAAACTGTAAGAGATCATATATTTATATATATATATATATATATATTTGATGATTTCTTAGAAATATTAAACTTTTATTCAAATTCTACTATCATAATTTCAAATAGAAAATTATAATTATGATAAAAGATATCGTTTGTATAACGATTTGTCTTTTAGAAAGTAACATCACTATGTTTTTTTTTTATCTATCGACAATCGTATCATTTGCTTTAGTTTATTATATGAATAAAGTTAATCTTCATTCTTGTTTAATGCCATTCATTTTTACCATTTTCTTCTATGATTTAATATCGACAGTGAAGAAAATTTGCATAACAAGAAATATATGCATGTATATATACATATATATATACACTATACAAACGTGCTTGTTGTTGTCACCACTGGTATCCACTTATTTCAATATGACTACTCGGTATTTTATGAAGAGTCGTCGTCGCGACTGAAGTGTGCAACGAAACTATGCATAAGTCAATTGTATTCAATAGATTGTGACGTATAAAACTTGGCTTATAGTTGCACTTAATCATTCAATAGTGTATTTCTTTTTTTTTTTTTCTTTGGTGTTAATCATTGAATAACCAGTACAATTGATATATTCTGACTGACAACAAGATATTGAATTCATATCAAATTCTACTGTCATATATATATAGTACTAATTAAGACAAGAAATATATCATATGGATTAGTTCTCTTTCTACAATATGAAAGCATAAAATAACGAGTATGTATATTATAATAAAGGTAATTTATATGTGAAAAAAAATCTAATGATATACAGATATATAGAAAATATTCTATTAAAGTAGTTTTCGTTTGATTACCTAATCATTTCATTACGTTTATGCATTAACACTTCTCTCATATATTTTTTATCTCTCTTTCACTGTTGTCGGTCGATTTGCAAACAAATAGAAGCCGTAAGGATGATAGTACTATAGAATAAATGTTTAACATTCACATAGACGGTGATGGCATCCTTTCTTTAATTGGTTGTAATCGCTTTCGTGTGCGCTTTCGCTTATTAGAGACTAAGAGCATATGTACAGCACAAAAAAAAAGGAGATGATTCTTCTCAACAATATTTTACATATGTATTCTGCTTGTGGCTTTTTATTTATTGTCTAACTGACCGTAGTGTATTGAAAGTTGTCTATAATCATCATCAGTATTCATACTACTAGACAAGTATTACGTCGTAATCGACCTATAACAAACTTTTTTTTTTTTAAACATTAAGAGAGGAAAGTGTTAAAGTAAAAGTGAGATACCGTATTGAGTCAAAATCATCTTTGAAATATTTTTGATGATGGGGAAGCCGAATTGTGATGAAAGGTATACTTGAGATTTTTTTTACAACTAAATGACACTATTTAGTAATGTTACTATTTTATTAGTCAACTTGTTGATCGTACATCTTCGCCACCAACAATATTATCACGACCAATCGATTTAAATATGAATTGGCATGGAACATTAAGTCAATCTGATCCAAGTATTCAATCACGTCAAAAACAATATATTAATCGATTACCTACAAATGGTTATAATTCATCATCATATAAAGTTTCAATTGGACATGAAACAGTAAATATAACAGAAATTGCACGTCATGGTGAACAATCATCTGATCCAACAACAATAATGGCATTAAATGAACGACATCGTGCTATTGCAGTACGGAAAAGTACTGATATTCTTAGTTTATGTTTTATGTGTTTTATTTCTGCTACTCTCATACTTATTGCTATATCAACAATGCATTTATTACTTAAAACAAATTATATTAATAACAGTGATATGATTCCACTTTTGCTTCAATCAGCAAATTTTACACCAGGTTTTTTATATATGTTTGGAACACCAAATCCATCAATAGATACAGTATCAAATCTTTTTATGTCAATGTATGAACGTACTATACGTGATTTAGCTACTGTTGTATGTTTATTAATTGTTGTACTTAATTGTTTTTGTTTATTAGTATTCAGTATTGAAATTTATCTTGGTTCTAATATGATGAATACTAAAAATAATTCATATCGGTAAGAATATTATCTTTTATTTATATATAAAGAAAATTTATTGTTACTTACATCTGATTTTTGTTTTTGTTTTCTATTTTAGTTGTCTTTTTAGTTCTTCAACAACACATTTTATCGCTATATGTTGTTTTTATGCATCAATTCCAGCATTAATACTTGGTAATAGTTATTTAAAAAGCAAAAAAAAAAAAAGATTTAATTATTGTAATTTTAGTAATGTGTTTATTTATTTTATTAAATATGACATTGATACCAGCAATTATTTCATTACTTGTTCTTGGTTTAGGTCTAATTTTTATTCTTCTTGCTTTATTAACATATTTTTCGGCATGGCAAAATAATAATTTTTCAACAACAAATGACAAACTAGCTGGTATTAATTCATCTATATATCGTACTGTTGGTATGACTCATTTAGGTGGTGAAGAAGATATAGATTTAGCAAAAGCTGATGAAATATCAACGCTTGTATAAAATGTATTATAAATGTATATTATTGTTTTATTTGAACAAATAAAATGAATGAGAGAAGTTTTTTTAGATGCATATGATAAACAAAAAAAAAAATCATAACAAAATTTGAAAGAACACAATAATTAAATGACAAGTTTATTTCGTATTTATTGACTCTTCTTTAATCTGCTAATAATTACAAGAAAACATTTTCAAGTATCAAATCACTTTTGTGTCGTGAATATTGCATTTTTTAACACAATGTCGTGACCACCTTCCATATGTGTGCTAGGAAAATTAAGTTTTGAATTTTAACTTGAAACTTTGCACAGAGATAAGGTTTAACAACAATAATTTTGTTGTAAAAGTTTCAGATCATTTTGTTTTTCCTATCGTAAGATGTGGCTATGGTATTTTTTTTTATCTCTCATGTACAACAACAGATATCGATGTTCTTATTTTAGAATAGAGAAGCAATGAAAAAATCTAAAACTTTCATAATAAACTATTCTCGTTAAGCCTTATCTGTGTAGAAAGTTTCAAGTCACAAGTCGAAACTCAATTGTTCCTGGTACTCTTGACAAGCCGAAGAAGGTACAGCATTGTGCAAAAAAAATACCGTAAAAGTGCAATATCTCGACAACAATAAACTAATAACTCGAACTATTTTCAGTATGTTTATAGCTCATACGAATCTACATGATGCACATCGTTCAGACTTAAAATCGATTTGACATGTGAAAACACTTCGTTAATTTGTTAAAATTTTGATATGCTTAATTTTTAAACTATATTCTCGTCATTTTCTCACAGCCATTTGATGGATCCATTTTTCTTTGAATCAACAGAGACTATCCACAATCAAGGAACAGAGAGCTGGGCAAGTATGAGTTTTCTAAAGTATAAGTCTCGTATTTGTCCTCCTTTGAGGATCAGCTTACCTTTTAGAACGAATGAAATATAAAAAACATAGTTTAGAATTTACATTATTTTCTAACTAACATGAAAATACCAACGACTCGTTTCAAAATCTCTATCAAGTCAAGAGTATACTTTTCATTAGTATTGTCAGTTTTAATCGATTTTGAAAAGTCATGATTCTCCGTAAACATATAAAAATTTTTGAAGTTCTTTTATTTCAACAACATTTTCTTTATTTTCATTTTCATGATTCTTCTACTTTGGAGGTTTTATTTGATTATGAAAACAAATCAAATGGTTCAGTGTTTTTGTTTTTGTAAATGTTCAATATAATTTATTGAGTACTATATACAAATTATTAGTAAATAAATTCGAGAGGAAACAAACTGATTTCTATGCTATAAATCATTAGAATACCTTAAGAATACCAATCATGACTGGGAATGATTCAAAATTCTCGGAAACCATCAGAAACTATGAGAAATCATTCTAGATCGTAGAAAATCCCTATTAATAAGATTAAAAGTGAAGCATTGATTTGTATTGATTTTTAATGATTTTCTTGACTGTCAGTAATAGCCAATATTGCTAGTGGTTGCTCTTGATTTTTCGTGATTTTCCTTCGTTTGTAAACATTTCTGATGATTCCTATTGATTTGTAGTGAATAGAGAAAAGAAACTGATTTCTAGTAATTGAAATCATTAGAAATCAGTTTGTTCACCCTTCAAATAAATCAAACTATCAGCAAAAAAATTTAGTGTTCGGTAATTATTATGTTTGCTCAGTAAATTCATAATTTGTTCATTTAAAAATACATTTACTCTCTAAATGAATACTATTTGTATCAGTAGTCATTTTTATTTTTCCGATGAAAACATTCTGGTATAAAAAGGAGGATGGTTCTGTACGTAAAAGAATTTTGTATAATATAATCTACATATGTTTCTTTTCTTTTCTTCGTATTAAGGTACTTTTCAAACGTTCTCTTCTCTTGATATAATTCAGTTATTTTTCACTCTCATCATGTTTTCTTTAAAGTGTCATTCGGGTTTTTTTGTCAGAGACGTGCTGGACAAACTTTTTTGAGTCCTAAATGTCTCGTACCGAAAATGTTCGGAACAAACGCGATTTTTCGAGATTCAGAACTATTCCGGAGGAATCTAGGTTTTTTTTGTTAGTTTGTTCCAATTTATTTATCTATCTACAGATGTCGATTAGAAAAAAAGATATGGTTTAATATTCATCTGTTAGATCAATGACCCGTTATCAGTATTATATATAGTTTAGTCTAAAAATACTAATAACGATGGAAATTGTTGATTTGAAACAGAAGCGAGTTTCCATTGATTTTTGAAGACATCATAAATCAATCATGTTCTATCAGATGGAATGTTGAGAACATTTTCATAGTATGGTCTTTAACTTTTTTTTGGTCCAAGTTTGATAATTTTCGAAACTATAGGATTTTCCAGCTCGTGAAAAATGCTATTGAATCATCTATATTAGAATCTAATTACTTCTGATTTTAGATGTGAAAGATTGATCTCAAAGACTCATTTAAATGATCAATTTATGACTGTGGAAATCCTTAAATATACCAGAAGGATAGCTCAACTCGGAAATTAAAGTACTCGCCATGAAAAGTTCTTGCATCCTATATATGATTGTGATGAGTTCAGTTTGAAAAGTGCTATAGACCAAATTACATTTTTATGTGTTTCTGGTCTTTAAAAAATAAAAGAAAGACAACAAAATTGGGTAAAAAAATGGTGTTTAACAATGCTATAGAAGCTGAAGAAGCAGTACTAGAAATTTATCTTTTAAATTATTTACTATGATAAAACTAATTTTTTTACTGACGAGGAAACCATTCGAACTGATATCCGTTGTTTGAGCTTATATTGGACTTATAGAGGGCGCTTGCTGAGATTAGCAAAAGTCTAAAAAGGTATCTTGCCATGGGTCTTTCAAGCCAAAATGGGATGATTTACGCTGAACTTTCGACCTAATTTTATATAATTCCTGAAAAACGAAATAAGGAAATTTCGAACTCATATTTTTCTTACAGAAAGATATATTGATTCTTAGAATATTCGGAAAGTTTCAGCCAAAAAGAATGTTCCATTATCGAGATATTGAAATTCCAAAAAAAAAAAAATAATCGCTTTCACAAACATAATACAAAAATCGAGTTTACTTAAAAATTCAATATCTCGACTTTCAGAATATTCTATAAATCATGAGACCTATCTATGGGTAAAATTTCACATGGAAATTCCATTTTTTTTTTCGGTAAATATCTAAATTTGGATCGAAAATTCAGTAAGACAATCATAAATCAGCTACAAAGACCTATGGAGACGAACTATTTTGGACTTTTTCTAATCTCATCAAGACAGCCTTGTAAGGCCTAATATGTGCTCAAACGGCAGGTGTTAGTCTGAGTGGTTTACTCATAAACAAAAATATACTAAGCAATTAAATACAAATATTTTATTATTATTTAATTCGGATAGATTTCATGCATTGATGATTCATTCTTTTCTAATAACTTCGACTAAAATAAATCCGATGAAACTTATACAACTTTCGTTATCATTTAATGGCAAAAAACTTACAATAAGAACCTTGTTTGTTATTATTCTATTTTGTCTTATGAATATTTTTTGTTGACATAACTTGATGTTTGATTGACAAGCTTTTTTTAATTTTTCTATCTATGTAAGATAAGACACTTCTTGATACATCAAAAAAAAAACAATCTTTTCAATATCTTCGAAATATAAAATAATTGAAAACTGAATAATAATAATAATAATAATAAAAACCGATGTTACTAATATACGTTTTTGTTTTGTTTGTTTTTTGAAATCGTGAGCAACAAACACGAAGAATATTAATTCGATAATACGCAAGACAGATAGAACATAGAAGAAGGAAGAAAACAAAAGAACAAAAAAAAAAAAAAAAAAGAAATACACGAAGCCAAACAGTTATGCATCAAAAGAAGGAATAGTAACAATAACAACAATATGAATTGATACTGTTTTATGCCGTAGTTCTTCTTCTTCCTTTTTTTTCCTTTCCATCAAACTCGACACACGAAACAACAGTAATTACATATAAAGACATATAGAGAAAATGAGTGAGATAATTTTTGAGATTATCATTCGCTCAATTACTCTAAAAGCAAAACAAGACGAAAAACAAGCAAAAGCACTGTTATCGTGTACAAAAGAAAAAAACAAAAGAAAAGCAATGTTTAAAGAAACACAAAAACAAAGAATTTCTTTATATATATATATATATATATGTATATATAGATATCAGGTTTTTGATGGATTATGGAAGAATTTGGAAAAGAATTTTTGTGTTATTGTTCTTATTGGTGTTCGAGATGTTGATTGAGTAACTAATGACTGAGATGAATTGGATAAAGGATTTACTTGTTGTTCATCTGTTTTTGTACTTTCACATGATTCTGTTGTGATACTTTCTGTTGTTGATAAACAAGCTATTGAATGTGGTCGTAATGAACAAAGTATAGGAGATGAATGTGTTGATGATGATGAAGATTTTCTATAATGATAAAATCTTGTTAAAGATTTACCGGTTGTATATGAATGATCACGATCAATTGATGGATCAATATCATTAATAGTTTTATTTGGTGGAGTTATAAATGTTCTTTGTTGTTCTTGATGATGATCATCGACTGTATCTTTTTTTTTCGATGAATTTTTTTTCTTTGTTAATGATGGATGATTTTCATGTGATGATGATGTTAATATAGTTGTATTAGTTAATCGACTGATTCGATGATTTTTATCAAGTATAGGTAATGAACGTGGAACTTTTTCGCCATCATGACTACGGCGAACATGTACTGGATATTGAAAATTTTCATTATGATATCCATGTGCTATAAGACCATATTCTTTAACTTGTTGCATTTTAAGATCAAGTTCATGTATTAATGCTTTGGACATTGTTAAATTATCAATATGAATAATTGGACAACAACGACGAGCTATAAGAAAAAAAAAAAACAATAAAAATAAATATATTTATTTATTCAAATTAACA